TTTTCGTGCAAGATTGTCAGGTCTTCAGATGAAGAGGGTGAGATCTCTCCATCCGGCGCACTACCAGGTGTTGTACTCAGGATGTTCTCTCTACCGGCCTCGTTAAGAGGGCCTATGAGATTGGTTGTGACGCCTGCTATTGCTTTCATTCTTGCGTCATTTTCTGCCATTTTTGGCTTCTGTATGGTGTGAAGAACGGTGGTTCGTTGTTTTTTTTTTGATATTCTAGGTGCAAACTATGATTTCGATTGCTGAAATCCCCACAGACGGCGCCAAATTGTTTGACTCAAAAGTTATCAGATACTTTTTAAGTGAGAACAATCAAAATGAATCAAGGATCAATTGCAATCGAAGATAATAAGACCTAGATATGTATTATGTTTGTTATAGCTTCCAATAGATTGGATATTCAAGAGAGAGAGGTAGAGAGAGAGGTAGAGAGAGAGTGCTTGTTCAATAAAAAATCCTCCCCCTTTACAACATCGGGATCCTCCTTTATATAATAGGAGACCCTCCTTAAAATAATAAAATAATACAGAGATTGGCCGCGTTCCTTCGAGAGAGACGACGGAACCGATGATACACTTCACGCCGACATTCTTAGGTCGTGCCCTCACTTCAGTTAGCGTATATTCGTTGGTCGTTCCTACCAACGTGGAGACGTAATGGGCAGAATTTGACCCTATACAGCAAACAGAATAAAGTTAAACAAAAACTGTAAATTCAAGCCATTTCGAGAGATTGACGCAAAAAACAATTACAAATAAGCTACACTTTCATCGTCATTCCATATCCAATGTTTGCCACTAATTCTACTACGAATAAAAAATAAAAAAGCTTAACATATTCCTACTTATTACTGCGATACAACATCTATAATGCATGTGAATCATAAAGGAAACTTCACTAATTCAGTCCGTTTGGACGTAGCAATAGAGATGAAGCCATCAAAATATGAAGCAGAAGATTAAAAAATGTTAGTATTTTGTATTCAAAACCAGAAAAATCAGAAGACGTTAGTTTAAGATAACAAAAAACAGAAAATTCCGAGCTCACTAGTTTCTTGTGTGTCCTTAAGGAATTTAATCCCCTCACAGTTGCCCAAGGTTTCTGATTGATTCATTCCAGGATAGTACGGAATAACTATTCTGTGATAGCAGCACTTCAAATCACAGAACTTCGGCGAATTCAAATGGCGGAGCAAATCACACAAAAATACTTACGTTTTTGCTTTGAAAATAATGCAGAATGCAAAATGCTTACAATTATTCATATAATATGCAACTTACTTACAGCTAATTTACAACTTTTATACAATATTAATGCAAAAAAATACAACTACAACAAAATACAACTTAAATATAATTTTGTACAACTATAACACAATTTTAATACAATTCTAATACTTATATACAACGTTCATACAATATTCCTACAAAATAAATACTACTATAACAACATACAACTTAAATATAATTTTAATATAATTTTTATACAACCATAATACAATTTTGCTACATGTGTTGCCATGTTGAATCTTCTAACATACTAGCGAAGTACCAGAGACAGTACATTGGGATACTCATTAATACTTATTTGTATACAATTGGTAAATTGTATTTGCCCATCTAAGGAACATCCCTTCCAATTGAATATTTTTATTCATCTTACCATTTAATAACTCATAATCAGATCTTAGTAACTAACTATTTTCAACTTGACAATTTAAAATAGACTTTTCAAGTGATTAAATTTAAATATTATTTAATGGATGAAAATGGAAAATTTTTTAATCCCGATTCGTGTCGTAACATTATTTTAAATCCATTCAATTTGAATTGGTATTTTCTCCTTTTCTTTATTTTCATATAAAATTGTTCTCTGGACTTTTTATCAATATGAGGTGATCGTAACACAATATATAAGACTCGTGATTCAGGCAAAATAATTGGAACAAGGGTATTGAACTTCTTAATTGCATTATTGAGTAAAAATAAATTTTCTAACATTTGACTACGTACCATTGAACTTTCTTTCGGCTTAAGAAGGCTGCGGTGAGAGTGAGAATCACTTCGGAACTCTAGGGGAATGGGCGTTTTAGAATCATCCTGGCGTCGAGCTATTTTTACGCAGGACCTCCCCTACAGTATCGTCACAGCAGTGGAGTTTAACCATCAAGTTTGGGATGGATTGGTGTGGTTCCTCTATGCCTAGGACACCAGAATATCGAACCATGAACGAAGAAAGGCATGAGAAAAAAGTATATTGGCTAGTGATTGTGAGGCCCCAATTCTTGACTGGAGGGGACACCAAAGGCCTCTGCCCCTTTTAAGTTAAAACTTGATTAGGGAGGGTAATAAAATTTTACATGCAGTATATGAAAGTAAAAATTTCATTTTTCAATGGCTTGGCAAACGTTGGCTATTTTTTAATTACTAGTCCGAAAACTGACTAGCCCATACTTTTTTCATAATAAAAAAAGATTACAACCCCAATTGAACAAATTTCAAATGCAGAGCCACTATTTCAGTTTTCACCCGTGTAGCCAATAAATTTTTTGCAACAAATTTTTATACATCTTTATATGTTATTATACATTCTTGAGCCAAGGATCTACCGAAAACAACCTCTCTAACTTCTCAAGGTAGGGGTAAAGTCTGCATACACATTATTTTTCCAGACCTCACTTGTGGAATTACACTGAATTGTTGTTGTATATATTATTATACAATATTACACACTTATTATAAAATAATTTATTAACTTTGTATAAAAGTGTATAATAGTTTGAAAGAGGTGTTTATACAAAATTATATAGTGATACAAGATTATACAAAAAAAAAAATGAGCTTCTTCTCCTACTAATTACCTTCAACTCATGAAACTCTATTCAAAATGGGTCAAAAGCATCAATCACCAAATAAATCCAAAATTTAGAATGAGCTTTACTCAAATAATTTCATCGATATTAGTCAACACTCGTTTGATTTCCTTTTATAAATTCTTAGTTCTTTAATACAAATTTTCAAAGAAATTCCAAATTTACCTTACGAAACTCCATTCCAAAAGGGTTAAATACGAAAAATTTTATTTTGTGTCTCATACAACTGATACTAGTTGTATGAGGTTTCTTTTCTGTCTCACATTTTATGGATCCAAAAGTATAAGATTGAGGTCCACAAATTTGTGAGACAAAAACACTAACTAATGTCGCAACACAATAAAAGTTGTCGTGAAATACATATGTTATCAAGGTGCTCTCGTCAAATCGGAACTTTTACATTCCTATGCCACATAGGAAACCTTATTACCCTCAATGTTTAAGGTTTGACTTAATTACATTTAGTATACCAAATTACCAATTCTATACCATAATTAATTAAGGGTATAATTAATTATACTTTTTTACTCCTTAATTAAAGGAATCTGTACTTCTCCATTCTCTAAATTGGGCTACTGATTTCCGGGCGTCGGTTTCGCACATTCATATTGTAGATTTTTTTTTCTCAAATCTGCACTTTTGACTTAACGGTGGTGTGTTGTTTTTTTAGAGAATACCATAAATATACAAAATGCAGTATAGAATGAGACTTAAAAGATGAAGAGACAAAAGCCTTTAGCGAAAAAAAAAAGAGACAAAAGCCGTATACGCTGAATGCAAATTATAAGTCATATTTGGCGAATGCGATTTTGGTCACCGTTCAAGTTTTACGACGAAGTTTCTGGTCTGGGTTCTGTTGATGTTTGGCTAGCAGAACGATACTCCCCTATACATGCCTTATCAATATTGTACGAAGTTTATTTTTACTTCTGTTTTACTTTTTCTATTTCTAATCTAAGTTTCTTGATTTCGCACACTTCATACACACATTTGATACAGCAAAAATATGAAGTAGTTACAGTTGGACTGATCAGAATTTGAAATAAATAAAAGAGATTTTTATATTCCTATGCCACATATATTTCAAATTCTATGGAAGTCTGATTTTACGGTAATATCTATAAAATTCCTACATTTATCTACAAATAAACTACACATCAGTTTTAGGATGTATAAAGCAATATTATTTTCATAATTATCTACAAAATTACAACATTTATACTACAATTAAACTATAATCTATGTTGAAAAAATGTTGACTACAAAATTTTTCTCTTCATCTATAAATTTTCTACAAATATACTACGAATCAGTTTAAGTATGTATAAAGCAGTATTATTTGTAAGGGTATCTACATAATTACTACGTTTATACTACAATTAAACTACAATCTATGTTGAAAATCTACAATTTTTCTTCAATTTATCTACTATTTTTGTACTATTTTTCTACAATTTCTGCAATATACGTCTTCTTCTTCTTCTTCTTTGAGTTTCATCTGAAATTCAGTCAAAACCAAGTCTAATCTTCACCAAAGCCCCTCAAAATTGAGATATAAACTCCAAACCATATTCCCAATTATTTTCAACAACACCCAATCCAAACAAATAATGATTTTTGAAAACCCAAATTTGAATTCAAAGCTTTCAAGCTTTTTAATGGCTGTCAATGGTGGAATCGCTGCTCTCTTCTTTGTATTACTGAAATTTGGACATAATTGCGTTTGATGTAGAAGAACTGTAGAAGATTTAGTCGTTTTTGATTTGTGAATTGTAGAAGAATAATCAATTCGTTTTTGAATTGTAGAAGAATAATCAATTCGTTTTTGAATTATAGAAGAATTTTAATGCTACAATGATTCCTTATTTAATGAAATATCTGGAAGAATATTTACTTCCATAATTGTAGCGCGCCTAAATAGGAATATCTGGAAGAATATTTAGTTCCAGATTTGTAGCGCACCTAATTAGGAAGGAATCAGATCCTAATAATTGATATTTAATGAATGGTATAATATTTGTAGAATAACCGTTAACATGACGGGTAAATATAAAACTATGCTCATTTTTTGTAATAAGTCCCAATTCATAATATAGTTAAGGAGGGCGGGTCTAAGTTGATGCCGCGTAATTGTAAGCAATGGTGCTCTCCCACTTCTCTTCTTTTGATATTCCGAAACCTTTGCATTTTACAACGCCCCTTTCTTCTCTCCCCATTACCCTTCGTCAAAAATGCTCATTTTCCATGTTCCATTTTTTCCTCTTTTTGGAAACCCTTTTCCAAAAATAGCAACCTTCAAGTCTCAAAACCAGGTTCAATTTCAAGAATATTAAAAATAAAAATTAAAACAGGTACGTCTTAGCTGAACAATTTTCTTTTACCCTTTTCCCATTTCAGAAAGTTTGTTAATTTTTTCAAAATGTTCATATTGCATTATATGTTTGTGGAGTTAAGAAAAAAGATTGTGTCTTTATCAATTGTTAGCTGACTTCTTGTCTCAATATTTCTTGTAACTGTTATATCTTTTGATGGTCTATTATAAATTCTTTTTGTTTGTTGAGCTGTGTAATTATTGATCAATTTGTGGGTAATGTGTTTTTAGGTATGCATAGTTGCTTTTAAGAAAGGGCTTACATTGTGTTGTCAATATTGAATAATATTTTTAAAGAATCTGATTGACCAAATTTCTAGTAAATAACCTTTTGTTTCTGGTTGTTCAGTTGGTACTTCGTGTGGTGGTTGAAGCGTTGGAATCGAAAAGCTATTTATATACAATACCCTTTTGGATTGAGTTTGTAGATAGACTAAATTATTTGGCATCACGAGCACATAGTAGAAGTTTCAAGAAGCTCTTGGACCATTGGTGTTATGAATTTTGTTAAACGTTTGAGAAGTAACGGCCAAACTATTAGAGAAGACCATGACTAGTGAGACTTGTGGAATTTCAGGCCAAGAAGTTGGCAATGTTGTTCCGCGTGATGAAAATTGTGATGACAGGCGTAGGCATAATGTGTCCGTGCAAACAGGCGAAGAGTTTTCAGAGGAGTTTCTTAGAAAAAGTGTGACACCAAGAAAAGCAAACATAATAAGAGATACAGAACAAAATCAGCCAGCTAGAGGTGTTTCTAATCTATCTCAAGATTGCCGTCTTGTCTCTAAGGAACTTCATGACCTCCTTGGGATAAAGAGAAGAGATTCTGACTGCAGTACAGAAATTTCGGATTATTCTCCTAGGTTAGCATATGCACCGGAAGTTGAAAAGAACACTTATTTTGATTCGACAAGCAGATGTAACGGGGAATTTAGTGTTAGTGTACGACAACCTTCTCGGTTCTCAGATGAGAGGAATAGAGATATATTAGAGTCCCCTCATGCACCGGAAGGTGAAAAGAACACTTATTTGGAGAGTTGTGCCAATGGAAAGATGAGATTGCTGTGCAGCTATGGTGGTAGGATTTTACCAAGGCCGAATGATGGGAAGCTTAGATATGTGGGTGGGGAGACGAGAATTATATCAATTAGGAAGAACTTAACTTTTAATGAGCTTGTGAAAAAGACAACAGCGATTTGTAATCAACCTCATACAATTAAGTATCAGCTTCCTGAAGAAGATCTTGATGCACTAGTATCCGTGTCATCTGATGAGGATCTTCAGCACATGATCGAGGAATATCACGACTTGGGAAAAAGTTCTCAAAGGCTACGGTTATTTATTGTGCCTTGTGCTGATTCTGAGGGGCCTTGTTCCTTTGAAGCAATGGCATTACAGCAAAGTGAAGCTGATTATCAGTACGTCGTTGCAGTAAATGGAATGTTTGAGCCAGGTCATCGTAGAAGCTCTAGCAGGGATACATTTGGAAATGCACTGGACTACAGTCCAATTTGCCAAAGAGATTCCCCAACTTATCTCCCATTTGATAACCGTAATGGAAGTAATTCAATGAATGTGAAGTTTCTGCTCCGAAATCCCAATTCTTCTTATGTTAATAACATATCTCAGGTTCCCTCTACTTCATATGTTCAGTCGTCTCCTTTATCTCCAGCAACATTTCAGATCAAGGATCCTAACCGTTCCCATGTCTTTTTATATGATAATGTTGCCAGTCTTGACGTTCCTGATGCCGGTAGTCCATATACCATAGACGAACCACTATATGAAACTTCCTATCATGTTGATACCACAGGCTACTATTATAATTGTCCCCTTGATACCACTCCAAGGACAAATTACCCTAGCAAACAATCTGTGTCTTCTGCGCAGTTTGGTCAAACAGAGTTGGATTCTAAGAGGCTAATGTCAAACAAAATGGCAATGCATTTAGAAAAGTTTAACTCTTCTCAAGTATCTGATATTCAAGCTACAACGGCTTTCAGCATGCATCGTGATTACACTGAATCACGATCAGCTGAAAGGCCCAATGTATCCGCAGAAGAATCAATCAGCCCGTCCCCTTCAGATTTTCTACCTGAAAAATCTCCATCTCTTGCAATGTCTAGCTCATCACAAGAGTGGTCAATGAAAGAGAATGAGGTGAGAGATGATAATCACCGAATCACCAAGAAGGAGAATCAACCATATATAGAAGCAAGAGAACGCAACAGAGAGTATCTAGATCCTCCTTCCAACAAGTGCAGTAGAAGCTCTGAGGTTAATACAAGCAACGTACCAACTGTTAACGCCATGGAACACAAGTTGAAATTGCCAAAAATTCTATGCTACCCGGAGTCAGCATCAGATCCCCAAATACTAGGGGAAAGACACACTTCCCCAAATACTATGAGCAATGTAACAGACTCCTACAGATTTTATAAGCCACAGCCTTCCACATTAAAGGATAGTACTGGCCTCCAAAACATGCACTCTGTGCCATTTTCATCCGAGGAATCTAGTTTTTATTTGGATTGGAGAAATCCCCTTACCAGTGATATATCACTTCCAAATTCAGCTACAGATGTCGCTTACATTCATGAGGTCTCTTTCCATCGGAAACTTGCGGATGGTCCTTCTCATAAAACTATGGAAAAGGGAAATGCTGATGTTATTTCAGAAATTGCTGTTATTGTGGAAGATGTAACTGATAGTGTGCCTCCTGATATCCCCTTATCTTCAACAGTAATCCCACATGTGCAAGATGAACCTAGTGATGGGATTCCATCTGCTGAAGAAGAAACTGATGCCGAGAGTGTTGTTGAAGAATCTGATTATGTAATAATTTCTTTCTTGAGTCACTGGCATCAGGTCTCATTTGGTTTTGTGGAAATAAACTTGACTATTTCATGAATCTGTAGGATGTCAAAATTGGTTCTAACGGAAAGGAAGAATCTGTCTCTGATGCTGCCATCATTGAAAAAGAAGCCGGGATCTATGGCTTGCAGGTACAGAACTAATTCTGTTAAAGAATAAAAACTAATATTTGATTATGATATATAGTGAATGCTACCTTTTTCCCTATCTCTTCTTGCTAATTTATGATGCTTCCTGAGCCACGGAGTCTGATTTCTTATAGATGGGGCTGATCCTTTCGAGAATTCTGAAAGTGTCTTTCCTTTTGATAGACGGTTAACATATGCGCTTAATTTCTCAACAAAATTTAATGTTTGAGCTGTTTGTGGTGATAAATTGTTACGTGTATAACGGAATTAATGAAAATTTGAACTTTCAATTTACATTGCTTTCCTTATTAAGATTTTACATCACTTATAGAGAGGATTTTTCTGAATTTGTACTAAAATCAGCGAGTTACTACTCGTAGATCATAAGAAATAGTGATCTTGAAGAGCTACAAGAATTGGGATCTGGAACATATGGAACAGTATATCATGGGAAGTGGAGGGGAACAGATGTTGCTATCAAGAGAATAAAACAAAGTTGTTTTGCCGGGAGTTCATCTGAGCAAGAACGACTGGTACGCCTCGATTTAACTTCAGAGAGTCAATTTTGCATTTAGATATGGATGGAAATATAATGTTCCTTTGTCATGCAAAGAAAACTTACTCAGAAAGAAATCAACCATATGTTTCTGATAATCATCTGTTGGTAAATGTCTAATTACTGTGTTTTACAGATCAAAGAATTTTGGAGAGAGGCTAGGATCCTCTCCAAGCTTCACCATCCAAATATAGTGGCTCTCTACGGGGTGGTTCCAGATGGACCTGGTGGAACGGTGGCTACAGTTACTGAATACATGATCAATGGATCGTTAAGGCATGTCCTGGCTAGGAAGGATCGGTGAGTTTGCTGCTTCTCATTTCCACTTATTCGTAGTTTCAACTATTCTTGCCAATGACACTAGTCACATTCAGTGATTTTGACCCATGGAATTACTCAGTTCTTGCAGAGCCCTTGATCGGCGGAAAAAACTTATGCTTGCATTAGATGCTGCTTTTGGTATGGAGTACCTGCATTTGAAAAATATTGTTCATTTCGATTTGAAATGTGAAAACTTGCTAGTCAACTTGGGAGATCCACAACGCCCTGTGTGCAAGGTAAATTTCAAACGTGTCTCTTCTGATTATGAAATACCAGGATCCTCTCAAGTGTTGCTTTATCTGGCGTATAGCCCGTAGCCAGCAAATTGAATTTTAAGTTCTGAAAGATGTAAATTTGGTTCGTGTCTATTTCGATGTGTTAAGATGATTTGGTTAGCAGTGTCCCTTTTAAACATGTAACCAGACACTTAAATATTTCAGGTTGGTGATTTTGGATTATCTCGGATTAAGAGAAATACCCTTGTTTCGGGTGGTGTTAGAGGAACACTTCCATGGATGGCGCCAGAGCTATTAAATGGAAACAGCAGTCGGGTTTCAGAAAAGGTAAGATCTTTTTTCTGTATGCTTAACTTCAAACTAGACCATTAAGAACTTTTATATCCCAGATATGAAGAAATGCTATTTATCTGCTTGGCAGGTTGACGTGTTTTCGTTTGGCATCACAATGTGGGAGATCTTGACAGGAGAGGAGCCTTATGCAAACCTGCATTGTGGCGCTATTATCGGTAAGCTTCTAATTTAGTACCTAATTATGGAATTTTAAGAATAGACTTGCAGTTGCCTTTCGATGATAAAGCACGTATTTACACTGTCAATAACAGCAGAGTTACATTCTTAACAACTTGGTTTAGCCTTCCATAAGCTGATGATTATAGAAGAAATTCCGCTGCTGTCATGCTTACCGTATAACATATAAGTAATTTGGAACTTCATAAAATCTATTCGTAGTTTCCTGGGATGTGTTCAAAATTGTTAATGGATTTAGTGGCAAGACCAATAAGAGGACAGTTCTTTTGAATTTCTGAAATGTAGCTCCCTGCCCTTTCACTAAAAGTAGTACACCCTCTATCTCAATTTGGCTCTATTACAACTTGGGAATTAAAAAATAGTTTCCATTTATCACTATAAACATTTGTGCTTTATGGTATATTTATGTAGTTTCTGAATATGTAAATGGAATCAATGCCTTAATTTTCACAAGAATTTAGATGCATTGACCTTGCGCCTCCATTCTTTTTGCGACAGAGGGAGTATTTTGTCCTTTCTTATGTTTTTGCATTGTAAGACACAATTCATCGCACATGGAGATATACGTATAGTATGTTTTTCTTTGCTGCATGACAATTTGAGACTCTCTGGACAAGCTTGAGATTGAAGTAATTTTATAATTTGTGGATGAAGGTGGGATTGTAAATAACACACTCAGACCTCCCGTCCCACAACGTTGTGATTCTGAGTGGAGAAAATTGATGGAAGAGTGCTGGTCACCTGATCCAGAAGCAAGACCATCATTTACACAGATAACAAACAGATTGCGCGCCATGTCACAAGCGCTCCAGCCAAAGACTCGATTAAGGACATGAGATTGTACATCCATGCCAGTGTAAAGAATAGTTTAAATGAAAAGATAGTAATCGTCCATTCTGTTAAAACAATAAGTTTCCCCGTGTAAAGACATGAGATTATACATCCCATGCCAGTGTGAAGAATAGTTTAAATGGAAAAAAGAATAGTAATTGTCCATTCTGTTAAAACAATCAGCTTCCCTGTGTGTAAATGATGAAGAATACATCATGTTGAGCATTGGATGCATAAATGATATACGAGATTAGTTCTCCAATTTACTTCACTTTCCCCTCTTTATTACTGTTTTTGTGCAAATTTCACCTTCTTTAGTTCTGTTCAAGTCACTGGATATTATACTATGAAATATTTATGGCTTTGTTTTTATCAACACTTATTGGTTTCAGACATTCGTGTGAAATCATGTTTTTCCATGTATTCCTACCGAAAATGCTTGCTCATAATTTTAAGTCCTTTCTCTGGGCTTGGATGATGAGGATGAGGTAAGAAGGGAAATTGTGGGATTCTATGCATGCTTTAATAAAGAGGGGGTGAGTAGGTGTAACAGCCCGTGATGCGTTTTAACGCCGTGCAAGCCTAGGCCTAAAGCGGACAATATCACTAGTGGGGGCTGGGCTGTTATAGTAGGAGACGGAAGTTGAGAGGAATAGTGTTAAATCAAATAGGAGAAGATAAAAGGGAGTAGTTGGAGAGAGCGATTAAGGAAATAAGGCCTCGAGACAGGATGACTTCACCTTACTTTCTTCGAACAATAGATTGGAGTACGGTCGAAGGAATTAACCATTGCTGCATTACAGGAGACCGGAGAATTTGAGAAGCCTCAGTGCATCCTTCATTGTCATCATACTGAAAAAGGAGCGAGGGACGAACATCAATCAGATAATCTCTAAGGTGCTTTCTAGTAGACTAAAAAAGGTGTTGGACGAGATATTGCCTAGCTCTCAGGAGCGTTCATGGAAGGAAGGCAAATTCGCAAACAAAGTGGTCGACTTGAGAAGGAAGCAAGGAGAGCCAGGGATCTTACCTGAAGAATCATCTCTTTCTGGTTGTTTAGTACCTATCCAGGTACACTCGCATCATAGTCCCAATATTTTCTTGAAGTATCTATGAGCACTTGTACTTTAATCATTTAATCATTTCAAGTCTTTGCCTATGCGAAGAGCAACGACGAAGATATGCTCATTTTGTGGCACTGGCTGTGATTTTAGATCGTCAATCATATGTTTTTCGTTGATACTTCTCCCAGATGTTTTCATTCCTCTGCTGTTCCTGCAAATGGCGATTTGCGTTGAGCATGAGAAAAATAATCTTTCCCCTTGATGTGACAGTGGTGTACTATCTGTAAAATCTAAATATTCCAAGTTGATAAGAATAATTTTTATCAGCAGAGTTGGGATCTGCAATAAAATCTAGGGAAAATGGTCAAATATACCCTTCTACTTTTGATTATTGTCTGCATTTAACCTCCGTTATACTTTGTGTGCAAATATATCCCTACCATTAATAAACTTATCACAGATACCCCTAACCTTAACGGAACCTCCATCATCACCAAATGCCGCTCCTCCAATCTTTTCTCCATAAACCAATAACTTCCTTCTTCACCTCATCTGCATAATTCAACCCATATATTTAGCTGAAAAATACTAATTACTATAAATTCAGTCCAAATAAGAAGCTAAACTCTCAAAAAGTTATAAAGTATCCAAAACCTTTTTAACCCAAATTATAAAAAATCAATGCACACCACCAAATTCGCAAAATACCCATCAAAAATTTATGCAAGATAAACAAAATAGAACATTAAAGAATGTTGATTTTTTTCTCATATTCAAGAGAGAAATGAGATTGCAGAAAATTATAGTGAATATGGTATTGTTCACCGTTTGTTTCTAATTCTTCCAATATTCCTAGTGCTACAAAATTGTACAATTTAATTGCTTTAAAGTATCAAAATTTGAGGAAATTTGATTTGCGTTGGATTCAAATTCAAAGTTTATTTAAAATCGTACAAGATCAAAGGATATTTTAAATTTCATAAGACCCTCCAAATGAAGGTTGTTGACGGTGTTCTCGTCTATGCATTTGGGGATTTATGAAGAGGGTGGTCAAGTTTCTCTCATGTGGGTTGAAGATGAATGAGAATGAAGGAGTTTCGTCTAACTGTGTTTAAATTAGTCGGTGAAGGGCGGAATAGTGGTGGTGGTTATGGTGGAAAGGAAGCAGTGATTTTTTCCCCTTTTTTGAAGATTAAGTTAGTGCTAGAGGTGAGCCTAACTGTCTAAAGTATGGAGCCCTGGAGGTGAATAAAATGGTGGTTCATCATTTTAGGTGGTCAAAAGGAGGAGATATGGGTGGTGAACGGAGGAGGCAATAGAGAAGAAGGTTGGAGTGGCGGCAAATGCTGATGATGGAGGTTCCGTTAGGGTTAGAGGTATTTGTGATAAGTTTATTAATGGTAGGGGTATATTTGTACACAAAGTATAACGGAGGTTAAATGTAGATAATTTTTGAAAGTAGAGGAGTATATTTGACCCTTTTCCCTAATATTTATCTCAAGGAAGCTGCATTGTGGGGAAACAAGTAATCTCCCTTTCTGCAGTGAGATTTTCTCCTATGTATGAATTGTTTATTTCTCAAACCAATCCAATTCTCTCTCGATATATTCCTAAAAAAATCCTATTCCGGCGGATTTTAGAGTACTTTATTTAATTCCTTCTGCAGTATTGGGCTTTGCGGTGTATGAACCAAAATCTGACCACACGTAGATTAGCGCTAAAAGGAATGGAAAGCGTCTGACTAAGTCGTGGTCGTATCAACAAGGCGTAATAACGACGAGTATCTCGGCCACTGCCGAGATCAAGCTATCAGAAAGCTTGTACGGCAAAATATATGTCGTAATACTTAGGGGGAGCGATGTAAAGTATAACCGGGAGATAGGGTATTCTGGCTAAAGACCGTTGGACAAAAGGGAATATTTATAATATATATAGGAGGTAAGAAGACAAGAAAGGGGGCTCTTCTCCCTCAAGAAGGAGGGACAGAGGAACAGGAGAAGATCTCTAATAACAATGAAGCGAAAGTCTAGATCTTGGTTGCAAATCTTTGTAATCATCATTGCTGAATCAATATAGATAGATCTCATAGCTATCAATGGCATTCTTTCTTTTCCTTCTTTGCTCTTACATTACGGAATAATACGTCAAAGATGTAAGCTTATCGTTTATGTTTGGTATCTTTTAATAATCTTAGAAAGAGTTATAAGCTTGATTATATTCGATTCTCGTATTTAATGTGCTTTGATATAGAGTTAATTATTTTTGGTCAAGATTAAATACCCTCTATCTCATCATTAAGTAGCTAGTTTAGCAAAAAGCTTGATGCTTTTTGGTCTAACAATTTGGCGCCGTCTGTGGCGAGGTTTTAGTTAAAATTTTAGTTTCTTCTAGATCATAAAGAAGGACAGCCATCTTTTTCTCGTCTGCACGAACTAACAATGGCAGGAAAAGGAGATGAAAGACAGAAAGCAATAGTAGGTGTCACTACCAACATTTTAAACACCATCAACGAGGATGACAGGGAAGACGAGGAGAATGTGATGCCTAGTGCTACACCCAGGCGGAGTGATTCACCTCCCCCTCATGGAAGTGTAACCGCTTCATGCGAAAGGGGAGCTTCCAGTCCACAGCTGAGGAAGCGCCACCAGTAGTGAAAAAATTACTGGAGGAGTGGCTGACAAGTACTCCAAATAACATACTCGACAAACCCATCCAAAGGGCGAATAGAAATGCCGCGCCATCAGATACTACAGCGACCACCGGCGAACAACCCGCTCCCCCAAGAGGTAACACTCACATCGCTGTTGATGCAGCTAATGATGCACTTGCAGCCATTCTAAAGAAAATGGAAGAAATGGAAAATGAGAACAAAGCACTCCGCGACCAGATGAGGGAACATCGAGAAAGGGTCGATAAGATACCGGGAGCCCCAAAACTGCTACCAAAACGGGATATTGGCCGATTCGTCGAACAACCGTATAGCGAGGAGGCAACCCCGCATGCCATACCCAAGACCTTCAAAATGCCACCGTATTTAAAGATATATGACGGCACCACAGACCCCGAAGATCATATCATTCATTATGTCATAGTGGTAAAAGGCAACGACCTTTCAAAGGAGCATGTACCATTAGTGTTACTGAAGAAGTTCGGTGAGACCCTAACAGGGGGAGCCTTATTCTCACAATTACCAGCACGATCAATAACAACTTTCAAAGAAATGGCCGACAAGTTTGTCACCGCCCACGCAGGGGCTAAGAAGGCGGAGGCCAGGGTGAATGATATATTCGCCATTAGGCAATCGCTTGGCGAGGGACTCAGGGACTTCCTCGCTCGGTTTAACAGAGTAAGAATGAGCCTACCAAACGTATCAGAAGGGATGGCGGTGGCAGCTTTCCAAAATGGGTTGAACAGGAATGGGTCGAGAGTGACCAGAAAGTTACTAAGCAGGCTCATGAAATATCCGCCCACCACTTGGGAGAGATTCACAACGCCTATTGTGCCGAGGTGAGAGCAGATGAAGATGACCTTAACGATCCAACCCAACGGTTAAAGTCGGTCCAAACAGAGTCGAGGAAAGACCATCGTAATGACAATCGAAGAGACCAGTCAGGTCCACGCCTTAACCGAGATAGGCATCAACCATATGTCTAAACAGCCATCCCATCATCCCCTCGCCACGCGGAAGGGACGTCCAGGCGGCATAAAGGGACTCAGCGAGACAAAAGAGGTATGCCTCCACTCTTGTTTGCTCACAATTTTTGTGTTTCCCCTTCAGAAATAGTGCACACACTAGAGAAACTCGGCCCGAAGGTGAAATGGATACAGAAGATGAAATCCGACCCAAACACCAGAAAGTCGAATGTCCTCTGTGAGTTCCATCAGGAACGGGGCCACAAGACCGAGGACTGCATAGCCCTGTGGCAAGAAGTTGTGAACATGCTTCACCAAGGGCACCTGAGGGAGCTGATAAGTGACCGAGGACGAGCCAACTTTGGCCGCAGACGAGAACAACACCAAGGCCCTCCAAAGCCACCCTCCCCTGCCCGCACCATCCAAATGATCATCAGTGGGGGCGAAGATGCAGCAATCAACCACGTGAAGTTTACCACCACATAAACTGAAGCGATCGATCACCTATGAATGGTATGATGACCTCGAAGACAGTATCATCTTTGATAAGTCAGATACCCACAATTTGACTTTT